CTTAGTGAAGAAACTTTTCTATTTCTATATACGGACGTGTCTACTTCAATTAAAGGCAGAATTTTAAAAAATCAATGGTTGTTCTAATTTTATACATTTTAAATTTCTTGGAATGGACTTGTTCGTCGGGGAGTGTAGGTGTTAAACGCGGCAATTGGCATACTAGAAAGACTTGTTATTCTGGGTTGGAAATGGCTAGACACGAGTTGACCAGGATATGTTGAAAGGTTTTCGGGACAAACGACACGAAATTATGACAGATACACGACAACTGCATCAAATTGGGCGTAAATGGAAACCCAGTTCTCCCAAAGCTTCATTTAAAGATGATTTGGCGCCTTTTTCTACATTAACTCTCAAATTATCGTCTGCGTAACAGGTGTAGCCGCCATTTTGAATTTTCCTCTGTCACTTGCACGTGTTTTATACACAGCCGGATCGTGCTTTTGAAAGGCCGCATCAACAAGGCAGCTATCGATCTCGAATTTGGAAGTCAGTTTAAGATCTGATGCAAATTCGTTGATTGCAAACTAGCACTGTCGCCAAAAAAGATGGCGGCAACAATAGGATGACAAGAGATGTTGTCTGCTGTTCTACAAGCTAGTCTTGCGCCATTCCGGCTATGTCATACCAAGACGGTTACTTAAATGAAATAAGGAAATTGGAATTACAATTTGACATTTATTTCTTGAAAAAAATACACTTTATTTTACCCGAAGCGATATACGAGACAGAGTCTATTCTTTGACTTTTTTCTACAGCGATGTGGTAAAGTGAAATTTGGAGCAGAAAATACAATCGGAAAGGTTATTTAGTTAGATATCAGCACTTCTAGTATTACTTTCTTTGTTGGTCTTTTAACAATTTAATCATATCTTCTGAATTGTGACAAGAGTAAAATAGACGTTAAATTATCCCCGTTTCACAGACTGCGTCAAATTTAACAAGGGTTTGATTAAACAAGGACGAGATTTATCAGTTCCCTTTCAGCATTACATAGACAGTTTACGATGTATAAGCATTGTTTACCGTTTCGTCATTTTATACAAAATGAAAATTGCACTGATGTATTTTTCAGAGCTGTCCTCCCCGAGTAGTTGTTTACCTGGACACATTCATGGTGTGATTAACCTAACCAAGACCACGGAAGGCGAAACATTCTATTGTCAAATATTGACCTTTGGGGGATAAACGAAATTTGGGCGATTGTGGAAGGATTAAGACGGTTTGCCAAGTGTTTTGTACGGTCCAGCCCACCACACCGTGCCGTCTTTGAATACTTAATCCTGGCTGGGCATACAGGTATACTTTAACGTGTTTACCACGCGGTGCTCCTAAGCGTTGACGGGCACTATGATGTTGGGACATTGTAAGGCCAATCATGATTTCTTTGTTTCACGTTTTGAAATTCTGGGCAGCTGGGGCGTGTATAAGTGTCAGGAATTAGTGCATTTAGTTTGGATTATCTTTGTCAGAGAGAACCGTTGTGTGTAACCGATAGCAGTGTCGTTTACTGAATTATCCCGTATCGTTAAGTTTAGTTATTTTGGTTTGTCTTATTATTATTTATAAATGAATCTTATCTACATTTTCTTGTTTTTAATAAAATGATTAAATATACTTACATTTTCCATGGTATCATAACATAAGCTTTTGGTAGAATATGATTTAATGCAACACACCATTTTATATGACAGTGAAAACTTAGAGGTATATTCACAATATAATCTCCTTCGCAACCTCTTTCCGATTACGATAATAAAGAATAGAATGAGTGCTGTGCAATCACAGTCATCTCACGATCAAGTTTCTTCTTAGAAAATAACTTCATCCTTGAATAAAACAAAACTCAAGTATTAACAGAGACTGCTCCTACGAGAAACAATTAATTATCAGTGAAGAGATCCCAATATTTTTCAAGGGAGCATCATGTTTTAAGTGTCGTCTGTTTTAGCGCGCGCTGTGTATCCATTTAAGGCGGAGAGCAAACACCTTCTAGTCATCCCTCCTGTTGGGGCCCTCGTATGGCCTTCCTGGACTTCCCAAATGCCCCCCTCAGTGTTAGCAATGATAAGATTAAATTCTCTTCGCGAGATCGATTGTTTAGAATGATTGCGGTGTTTAAATAGCTAATATTGACGAGATGTTCGCCACTGAATCTAAACCCAGAGATGGCCGTCACACAAACTGTCTTTTGTACTGCTGCTTGAGAATTTTGATTCCCTATGTTGAACAATCCTAGATCTATGGAACGTTTAGCGTGATGGTCATTTGAAGGTCTTCAACAGGTATGGAGATTGTTTTCTCCTGGGAGAAGCATTCTAATGCCTGATGTAGCTGCAGTTGAACACACCAATCATGCATCCTGACAAAGGATTTTGAAACATGTCTGTACCCTGCGGTCGACGTTGACTTCAAACATCAAACACTGCCACACGGAGTATCGTAAAAATGAACTTGAATTGGTTCTATTGTACACCACTATTAGTGTTCTCCTGAGATTTGCCTGAGATATTACACTGGCTTAGAGATTTAAAAAAAACAGGTTCAAAAGCAGCATATGTGTATTTTAGTTTGAATGTACGTTTATGTTTAAATGTTACAAACCTGGGCATTTCTATATACTTTGAACGACAATCCGCTATGATAACAGATTCATGTACAGTGTTGCTTGGATTTTACACGGGCCACTCAATAATGGAGCATTGCCCACAATCTGAAATCATTCCCACATCAACAACTAAGAAAAGGCAACGGGAGGCTAAAACAAGTATTGATACGATAAGGGCATTGTTCCTGTCTATATTCCCTTTTAAGTGCTATTGACACTTATGTATTACACTTAACTATCCTTATCCGCCAAATCCTATATTGTACATTTGCCTTTGGACGTTGTTATAAACAAAACTCACAATGACGAAATCTATTTCACGTAAATTTCCACCGAATTCCCCACAAAGCCACTTATCGATGGTTGCAATGGTGTGTGGCCATGAAAGGAGATTATTGAGTGAATCAAAATACCAAGATATCAATAGACTGTCTTTTGTATATAACACTGATGGTATTGACATCTGGTTCTTGAAGGAAACTCTTCTTCTTACATTGGTAGAGTCATGCTTGAGTGCATGCCAAATATTTCAAGACGACAGACCTGTTTATTCTGAATCACATTACTCATTAAACAAGTACCAGCAGTTTTAATTGAATGCTCCTTTGAAAGCAACATCGATTGTATCAGATATTACTATTAAGTTGGACGACCATCAAGTGTTTCCATTGATAATCTGAAACAGACTATCTCTTGAAGGGAATGTATTTGACAGGTGATTACTTGATAATGACTACACCTAAAGTGACATCAGTGTTTACTTTTCAGTGTTGGGGAAAGTTAATAAAGGATACAATATAAATCCATTTGGTTGAGATAATTTCCATTGTGAACAATGTGGCGGTCATACTCTATTCATAAGTTTGAATTGTTTGAGATATGAATACCTTAATATGTGTGCTATTATTTGGTACCTGGTTCCTTACAGGTCACATCTTTCTTTAAATTGTTTTCCAGCCGGTCACATTGACGACAGTAACTCTATTACATGAAACAGCATGGGACGTTTCAAATACAATCTGTGTATTCAGTAAATTCAAAATGTCAACTCCAGAGAATAATCTTGAATCTCCGCCGACATAGTGATAATGAACGGAACACTGAAACCAATGATGGCAAAAGAAATGTTTTATCAACGGCCAGTGATTTTCAAATAAACAGAGCAATATCAATAATCACATTACATGATGATCTAAGAAGAGTTTCAAATTCAAGGCAAACGGTCCAAACCTAAACCATAGAATTCAATAATGTCATACACGAAACATCTGACACAGCAGAATTATATGATTGTTCAAAGTATGACGTCATCACAATAGGGGGCATAGAGCCATGGTTCTTTTTTTAGATTTTTGGGGTTGAAGTCTGCTGTTTGATGTTTAAACTTCTCGCCCGGTGTTGGTTTCCTTGTCCGATTGACATTGTCTTGCTATGGAGGATTATCTTCTTTCCACGGCATGATAATATTTATCAACATGTATCACGTCAAACAGGGTGGTGTTTAATATGCCAAATTGCTGAAATATAAACGCAAAGAATGATGGCAATGGTGTAAAAGCCAATGATTGTATGTGTGGTTACCGAGCGTTAGATTTGAAGAAAGCAAAAACAGTTCTGTGAATAATGTCCGCAATTTGTGACATAAAATGCCAGAGATCGGTGATATTTGACAATGAGAGCAGGGTTATTTACTTAAATTGTGTCAACAATGTGATCTAAAATGGAGCAACAAAATATTTGTCCTGCCATAAGAAGTGCACCAACGAACCAGAGCTTGTAAAACAATCAGCTTTCTTCTTCATGTGAAGAACAATTATAAGTTTCATATTGTTCCTAGTAAATTTAATCTATATGAACTTTTCACCTATCCTTAGTCAATTTACGCCGATATTTTTTAACATTTAATTGCTGAAAGCATTTAGTATACAGAAGAAAGGACATCCTTCCCGAGTGTCTTTATAAAGACATGGGGGAAGGATTCTGTTTATCTGTTAAAGGTTTGTGAACAGTAAATATCAGTATGTTGAGCTTCAGAATCAGGGAAAATAGTGATGTCATTTCATTGTGAATCCATTAGTACTGATTTGAAAGTCATTGTGATGCAATTTGATTGTAGCGATTTTTCCTTGGCGATTTGTCCTGGAGAAGCCAGTTTTTGATGATATATTAACATTCTCTGGTGCGGTTGCTATGGATACTTTGATGTTCTGGCTTCAGATGAATCATGCAAACAATTTTCCGAAAAATGATAACTCAAAATTATTGCTAAGCCGACATAGCATGAAAAACACATGCCCTAATTGAAATGAAACCCCAATTGTTCTTACATAATGGAAAGAATACACCCTAATTTCAGCTAATTGATTCTATTTTTTTAATCTTATTGCAGCCCGCTACACTTCGGGCACCGAAGAGGGTGAACAATACGTCCCAGAATTTGCAGCCAATGGTGAGTCTCTCCAGACCCCATTTCTCTGTGTGTTTCTCTCTTGTCTTACTCTTGTTTCTTTACCTACGAGTACGTGAATGACTTCGGCATTATGCCATCCCAGGATCTCCAAAGCCCAAATGTAACTTTGTTAATTGTAACAACAGATGTAATGAAACTCAGATCTTGAGCATGACAAAGCAACTCTAACATATGATCAGCTGGTCTGAGACGTCAGACGCTGATACTTTTTTAATACACTTCCATATTTTTCTCTAAATCAACGAATTCATAACGTAAATGGTTTATATCCCCGAAGTACATCAAATAGTTTTAAGATATCATACTAAGGTGAAAAATATAAATATTATTTGTTATTGTTACCATATAGAAAGTCATTCCAACTAATTTGAAGATCTTTCTACGCATGACAAGTTGCATGTGTCATGATTACCGCCACAGTTGCCGTGTTTCTTTCATCAATATTGTGGATAATCATTCAATTCAAGAGCGTTGTTGCTGTTTGTACACTGTGAACATCTTCTTTAGTTTGCGCAATCAAATCAAACAGAAGAAAAATACCTTTAACTCAATTATCTAATTTTTATGCTGCATGCCAAAAGCCTGACTAGCTATCGGCAAATAATTAAACCTCTCACCGGAATTGGAATGGCAAAGACTGTTTATCCTCCCGTAACAAGGTCGGGGAGACCAAAAAATCGACAGAAATGTCCAAACTTTAAGTGTCCTTCGCTCTCTAAAGGAAAAAAGGCAGTTAAGGTGACAGAGAAGTCAAACACACAAGTCCAGATCTCACCTTTAGCAAGGAGCAACAGCTTTTAGGCAAACACTAACAGAAGAAAATATCTACACATGCGTTTCTTTGGGACCAAGGGAATCTGGCAGCTTAGCTTGGAGGCGCTTTTTCCTCTCTTTTTTTTTTTGGTTTGGCAATGTAGAATATGTAAATTGTTTTTGCACGCTCTGTGAGATCGCGGACCAGAGGAAACAGTACTGTCTGTGTCTATGCTATTCTCAGATAATATATTTATATTGTGTATGAACACTGTCCTTGTGGTGTATTGTGGACTGAGATGCACATATGTAATGAGATTTTGGATGATAAATACACGGATAATAGTGCTATCACATCCATAGTTCTAATCAGCCTGTTACTTGTTACATTATTGCAAGGAAAACTGCCTAAGGTTTACGTTTGAAGGAATTAGATAAGTCTTGACAAGCTGCTGATCATAGTCTAGCGCTGCAGTACATAATAATTACTTGTGGTGGCATTTGTATAAAGAAGTACTTATTTTTCCAAATATATTTATATCAATATTTGTATCAAAAGTCATTAGGAAATTAGTAACTGAAAACTCTGTAAATCACGTTTCCTGTACAGCAACAATGTGATTTTGGAAGGACTTTGTGTGGAAGTGTAACCCATTATTATCATTGTTATCTAGGAATCACTTAATGAGAAACTAGGATAAGACTTATTTCTAGTCTTAGAACCTTTCATTAAATAACACTTTATCTTACAGTTAAAGTTTCATTAGGTGTATCAAACTAGCAGTTTTTACATATTCCCAATACACACAGAAAATGGATTAGTTTCTCACAACGACTAGACACGGTCATTACATATTTGAGCACAGGCTCCAGCTGACCCTTTCCACTGACAGGTCATCTTGTTGTGGTCATTGTGTGAATGAAATATCGTAATGTGGCACCGCTGTTTAAGACGTCTGAGTACGAACACCGCAATGATCAGTGTACTTGACATTCACTACAAACAGTGAAAGTACGTAAAAACACATCCGAATGAATGACGAAAGTTTATCATGAGACTCACAACTGAATCATCTCATGGTAAATGACAAGATTCATTCAGTTTCCATATACAAGATATACATACCAACATTACAAAAATGTTTTTGGACGCGTAAAGGAAAACAAGATTTTTCAAAAGATGCAGCTTTTCTAACATGGTCTAGGCCTCCTGATTTGTTATCAAATACGCCATATTTTGTCCACGAAAATATTGCGTTGGAACAGTTATTGCTTTATCTGAGTGTTTCTCTCCCCCTTGTACTTTCAACATGGCGATTGTCAAGAGCCATACACGCGTATTTGAGGTCCGCGCATGTGTACAGAGGAGCTGTTGAGAGTTAAAGGCTCAATAGACAGTGTATAATACAAATCCTGAGGGCATCACTTCATATACACTATTAATCTTATTAATGAACAACCAGCCCCGAGATTGGAATGAAGTAATTAAAGACAGGAATTTGCAATCGCGTCGTTACATTCACCAAGAAAATATGTCAATGTCAGATACAACGTCATATCACAAGCGTCCGTCCAAGACTTGGCCATTTTTGGAGCTCCACGCAAAATCAAAATGACTGCGTGCTGCGAGACTTGTATCTGTGGAGGGAACGATTCAGGGGACGCTAGTACCCATTGTAATCTCATCCAGGGCAGGGTAGCTAGCTGAAGAAATATTTGTCCAATTCAGAAATGGATTTGTCACATAGGTGTCTTAAAGGGGTGTGTTTAGGTTGATAAGAGGCATACTCAGGTGATAACCCTGCCGTGGACTTTATCTCTCATCTGTTGTTACTTAAGCATATACAATGAGAAGATGGAGAATTCATGAAGAGACGTATGACACAATTAGTGCCTTTACATGACAACCAATTATGTAGATGTGCTGTGCTTACTTCCCTGGTTTTATAAAAACATTAAGTATAGCTATAATTCATTAGCAGTAAAAATGATGCGTGAAAGATAACTATACATCCATGCATAAAATAAGCACCACCCGTTATAGTTTGATAGGGCAAGTATTTAGCATTTCAAAAACGAAAACATCATTGAAATTACCATGTACTTTAATTAGGAATATTGAGTATATTTAAAACAGGTGTTACCTCATATTGAAAAGTGAAAGTAATAAAAGATTGTTATGTGGCCTATAAATTCATTATTTATTGTGAATGGATGAAAGTTTGTAAACTATGATTTAGGAAAAGTTTCAGTCAAACTAAAAAAAAGTGAAATTTTAAAATGCAGTAAAAGTTGCTTTACAAACGAAACAAACAGATTTTAGCTGTAATTATAAGTATCCGGCAAGGAGAAGTGTATATTCAATGCAATAAACTCAAAATCATAAAATATTTATTCCAAAATCTTATTAATGTGGCCTTTTTCAGTTTTTGTCAATTAGCAATCTCAATTGTTGGAAAAAGGTCTGAATCTTTGACATTCGGGTTCTTCCTGATTATGCATAATTAAAGCTTACTTGATGTGTAAATGTTATCTTGGTATGTAACAGAATTGTTATTTTTAGTCAAAACTTAATGTAATTGTGTAGTTTGAGCAGGAGAGGATTAGTTATTTTGGGTAAAAATTCAGTCCCATCACATTTTCATCAACATATTCTTTCATAAAGAATAGAAAAGGTTATGGTATCTGTAAAACTGTCAGTGGATAAAGTTTCTTTAACTATAGGTTGATTAAATTGATGGCTATACCCCAACTTTTCTGTAGAATCACATCTTTTTCTATAATATTTTTAGTAGATTTATTTCCTGAGACATCATCCCATTGATAGGGTCTTTTGTAACACATGGTATGGTATGGTAAGGTATGGTATGGTATGGTATGGTATGGTATGAGTTTCTGTGCGATGAATGCAGGCTGTTTACGTTCCAGTGATCATGTTCATGACATGAAGATTACCAGTGGGACCATCTTGAAATGTCAATGGCTGACATACATATTTTGTAGCAATAGTATATAGATATTATCAAGATATTTCAAATGTAACAATCTCAGAACAACATTTATTCAGTTGCCTTTAATAAATAAAATATTAAACAAAAACAACGCCGTTCATACCGACCTTGGGGACCTACAGCCTCAAATGCCATAATTAAAACGTGTCATTTAGTTGAAAGTAAAAAATTATATCAAAGAAACATCTTAAAAATAACTAATACGATTTTCTTTTTTTTCGAAAGAACCGTTTTATGTTCCAAAGGAGTTGGATATAGATTTGTAATGGGACCCGTTCCAATGAAAGAATAATAAAAGAACATTCCCAAAGCTGGCGGCATTCTTGGAAAAAAATGAAGAAAGAAACGACCGAGTCTAAAATTCAGCCAAAAAGAGGTTTATTCTGGAAAAATACATTTTAGGAAAAATACATTTGTAAGAAAAAGTGAACAATCTTTTCTATAGGAGTGGGATAACAATACGGCCTCTGCCTAGGAGACAGTGTATAACTTGCGTTGACTACGAACCATAGTGCGTCGATCAAACACTAATTAGGTGTCTTGGGTTTTGCCCTCGCTAAGCCCAGGTGAGGTCCCTGCTATATTTGCTTGATTTGAAGGTAATTAACGTGAATGGATGAACTTTTAACACCTGTATATGCATCGGATTCGAGGATCTAGGTCCCTTTGCGATCATTACGAGAATGGCTTCTCCCTAAATGAGATACGGGAAACGTTATAGCAGAACGAGCACCTGCTCATTGGTGTTGGTAAATAGAGAGACCCTAGCTTTTAGACAGGTCTCAATATGCCTTGGTCGTAGTGTTTGGGCGTGATTTGTGGCTGCTGCATGCTTAGAGGTTTTGTGAGGGATGGTCAGTCTAGACCAGGCAAGTTGTTTGCACTGTCTCCGCCTGTGTATAACGTCTGATGAGACAGGCCGATGACGTGGGCTTCCTGAGCAGTTTATAACTTAGATGACCACGTCTGGACGTCCACGGAACCTCAGAGGAACGTTCTAGCACAGGCGCTTAGTCTTGACCTGTCCCTGTTAGTTTGTGTCTCGAGTGTTGGGAGATTGAATGATCAAACTGGTGTTTGTACAATATGTGCTGATGTCTGTTCTTCAAGGGGAAGTACTCAAAATTCCTCAACGTTTTTCAATACAATACATCATTTGTACTACGTCTGTATATTCTTTGGCATAAGCATTTGATGTCCCATTATGTTATTATA